GCCTGCCTTGTAGAGCTGCGTTTTCCTTTCTGGGCTGCTGGTTTGGGCCTTGCCTTCTTCTCTAGGGTGGACTAGATGGCCCACTCTACTATTCTCTACTATTCTACTACTATTCTAAGAATATATGATTGTATAACTTGCGACCGGCATTCAAAATATGATTTTTTAAAAGGTGAAAGCTTTCAGTCCAGTTTAAGAGCATGAGCTCGATGAGGATGTCTTGACCTGTCCTGAACTGCAGATGCCTAAGACGAAATCCACTCACAGCAAGGGCTTGGAAACATTCCTTTATTCCAGATCAATACAGATTGGAGAGAACGGTACTTTGGAGCTTTTGGTACAAAACGCTATATCCCCAAGCAACAACCCGCTTCCTTCTTGTCTCTACCTACTTTGTTTACATATTCCCAGGCCCAACTATCTACATCACACTCCAGCACTCCAAGTCTTTATTTATTTATTGTGTCAGAAGCGAGTTGAGGGTGCAGTTAAAATGCATTTAAAAGCACAAACAAAGATTTAATAAAGAACTTGGCATTATAAATGTCCTTTGATCAGAAACTGGCCACTTGGAGTGCCTCTAGTGTCGCTGTGAGAAGGTCCTCCATTGTGGCAGGGCTCAGGTTGCATTGTAGTCAGTGGTCTGTGGTTTGCTCTTCTCCGCACTTGATTGTCGTGGACTCCACTTTGTAGCTCCATTTCTTAAGGTTGGCTTTGCATCTCATGGTGCCAGAGCTCAATCTGTTCTGCACCTTCCAAGTCGCCCAGCGTTCTAGGTGCCCAGTCTCAGCCATGGATTGAGGTTCTGGGTTTCAGCCTGCCACTTTTGGACTCTTGCTTGCTGAGGTGTTCCTGCGAGTATCTTTGTAGATTTTAGGAAAGTATTTCTTGATTTAAGGCATTGGTGTGTTGGCTGATATCCGAACAGAGGATGGGCCGGAGATGTCACTGCCTTGGTCCTTTCATTATTGGCTGTTACTTCCAGATAGATGTCAGTTGGTGCAATACCAGCTAAACCAGGGGTCCGCAAACTAAGGCCCGGGGTCCGGATACGGCCCTCCAAGGACATTTACCCGGCCCTCGCCCAGGGTCAACCTAAGTCTTGCCCGCGGTGGCGCAGTGGGTTAAACCCCTGAGCCGGCAGGACTGAAGACCGACAGGTCGCAGGTTTGAATCTGGGGAGAGGCAGATGAGCTCCCTCTATCAGCTCCAGCTCATCATGCGGGGACATGAGAGAAGCCTCCCACAAGGATGATAAAACATTAAGTCATCCGGGCGTCCCCTGGGCAACGTCCTTGCAGACGGCCAATTCTCTCACACCAGAAGCGACTTGCAGTTTCTCAGGTCGCTCCTGACACGACAAAACAAACAAACAAACAAAAACCTAAGTCTGAAACGACTTGAAAGCACATAACAACAACAGTCCTATCTCATCAGCCAAAAGCAGGCCCACACTTCCCATTGAAATACTAATAAGTTTATATTTGTTAAAATTGTTCTTCCTTTTTAATTATTGCATTGTTTTTAAGTGTATTTGCACTACAAGTAAGATATGTGAAGTGTGCATAGGAATTCATTCAAGTTTTTTTCAAATTATAATCCGGCCCTCCAACTGTTTGAGGGACTGTGGCTTGGCCCTCTGTTTAAAAAGTTTGAGGACCCCTGAGCTAAACAGTATAATTTCTTCAGCAGTGTGGGGCACAGACATCCTGTGATAGTGGCATATTTCATTCAGGGCCACATCCATGTTTTAACGTAATGAGATGTATTTCACATTGGGCATGCATATTCAGCAGCAGAGTAGCAAAGCACGAGTGCAAATGTCTTCACTGTGTCTGGTTGTGATCCCCAGGTTGTGCCAGACAGCTTTCATATGATGTTATTCCTAGCATCCACTTCTTGCTTGATAGTCAAGCAGTGCTTCTTCTAAGTCAGAGCACGGTCCAGAGTGACTCCCAGGTATTTTGGTGTGCAGCAATGATCCAATGGGATTCCTTCCCAGGTCATCCTCAGAGCTCGAGATTCTTGTCTTTTCTTAAGATGAAAAGCACACGTCTGTGTTTTAGATGGATTAGGAATCAGCTGGTTTTCCTTGTAAAATGCAGTAATAGCACCTAAAGCTTCAGAGAGTTTCTGTTCAACCATTTCAAAGCTCTCTGTTTGGGCGTTGATGGCACGATTGTCAGCATAGATGAAACTCTGTCCCTTCTGGCAGTGGCTGATCATTCATGTCAATGTTAAACATGGATGGAGCAAGCACACTCCACTGAGGCAAGCCGTTCTTCTGTTTCCGCTATCTGCTTCTCTGGCCCTGGAACTCAACAAAAAAGCTCCTGTTTTGTAGCAGATTTCCTATGAAGTGGGTGAGGTGGTAGTCCTTTGTGATATTATAAGTTTTTCTCAGAAGAAGGCAATAGTTTACAGTGTCATAAGCTGCTGGCATGTCTATAATGGCATTGAATGTTTGCCATATATCTGTTCTGTGATCTGCTCTGAGTTCCCTTCGGAGTGAGATGTTGTTAAGGTGAAAACCACATGGCTGTGTTTTAGCTGGATTAGGAATCAGTTGTTTTCCCCTGTAATAGGCAGGAAGAGCATATAAAGCTTCAAAGAGCTTCTGTTCAACCATTTCAAAGCTCCCTGCTTGATCGGTGATGGCACGATCGTCAGCATAAATGAAACTCTCTGTCCGTTCTGACAGTGGCTGATCATTTGTGTAAATGTTAAACACTGAAGAGCACACACCTGCATTTTAGATGGATTAGGGATCAGGTGTTTTTCCCTGTCATACGCAGTGAGAACACCTAAAGCTTTGGAAAGCTTCTGTTCAACCATTTCAAAGCTCCCTGCTTGAGCGATGATGGCACGATCGTCAGCATAGATGAACCTCTCTTCTGGCAGTGGCTGATCATTTGTGTAAATGTCAAACATTGGAAAACACTCACCTGCGTTTCAGATGGCTTAGGGATCAGCTGGTTTTCCCTGTAGTAGGCAGGAAGAGCGCATACAACATGATGGTACAAAACATGATTGATATCAGTGCATAAATGCAGTAATTATTCGATTAGCCTCACCACAAAAACTACACATGCTAGAGAAAAAATAAACACAGATTTGAATTCAGTGCAAAAGAATAATAATAATAATAATAATAATAATAATAATAATAATAATAATAATAACTTTATTTATACCCCGCTCCATCTCCCCAAGGGGGACTCGGTGCGGCTTACATGAGGCCACGCCCATCAATACAATACAACAAAATAACACAAAAACATAGTAGAACCAAGCAAAATACGCAAAATCAAAATAACATACGACACAACAATATAAAATTAAGCATTAAAACCACAGAAAAATTCACTCGGCGGGGTCAGATTCACGGATATTTTTTTTTAAAAAAAATTTAAACACTGGGAGATAGGACATTGTAAATTATACGGAGGATATAATTTTACACTCTGTCAGAATGGTGTAAAATTATATCTGATGAAAAATACTTGGTGGTGTGTGTAATCTGGAAACAACAGACTGCTCCTGAATGTTTGTTCGCCCATTCCACCTAGAATGGAGAGATCATACCAGCGGACCCACCAAAGGGGGTTCGCTACTTTGGTGAGCAAAAGAAACAAGAAGCCACAATTAAAAGATTTCCCTAAGTTCCCAAAAGAATCTCACCAAAGTTGAAGGAAGCGCCACCGAGTTTATTTTATTGCGATCCAGCTGGAAAGGATGCAAAGCAGCAATATTTCGCCAAGCAGTGTACATAAATAAAGGCCTTTTTATACATAAAACAGAGCTCTCAGGTTTGAATTTCCTGCTCCCCACCCCTCTGCTGGCTTGACGATGATTGGCTGGTGCTCTACAGCTGGGAGGAGGCTTGACCGCCTCCTGAGCACCTGGGCCAATTGCTGAGCTTCTGCCGCCTCAGCTTCCCGACCAATCAGGAGAGAGGGAGGCAGGACGAGGGGGAAACAATGAATCCTTGAGTGGATTATGGAGATATGTAATGTCCAAGCGACCAGCGAGTCCTCAGGGGGCCTGCAAGCTGGCCCTCCTATTGTCCTTGATTGATGGCAATAAACGTTGAAGTCTGGCAAGCCTGCCAAAATCCGAATTTTCTTGGTGCTAAGATATGAGAACAATGAGGCTGAAGTTTCGGTGGAGGAAGGTTTGAATGGGCAACAGATCAGGACAAAGTGTGGCTTTCTGAAGGCCCCTTTTGTCCCATTGAGATATGATCATCAATGCCAAGCGGGCACCATCCGCTGGAGGGACCGACTCCGAGCCCCAGGGTTTCTGCCCATTGTATGGTTCATGCAAATAAGTCTTTGATAAGGTTCTTTTCAATCAGGCGATTTCTTCGTTCCCAGGGTCACCCAGGGGGCTTCTTACATTTTTATACATTTTTTATAAAGGGAATAGGGCAGAAGGGTCAGGTAAAGGTCAGATACACAGGGAAAAATATACAGAAATTATAGTGTAGAAAACATACGCACTCATCCCTCCCACTAGAGTCCCATAGAGAAATTGATAAGAGCCTCGATCATGGCTCAGTATGTGTCCATAGTTCATAATATTTATAAGAAGGTCCATAGAAGAAAATGTGTCCATAAAGGGAACGAGAGTCCTTGGTGTGGGGAAAAAAAGGTGCAAAAATCATAAGAAGTGGCTTGGCAATTCCACTGAGCCAGGATATGGAACTCTGCATCGCTGGGACTGGAGTCTGTCCTTTGGTCCTTGGAGAACTATAATCTCTTCCAAGGACTGGAGCGAGAGTGGCAGACTCACTTCCCGAAGGTCTCATGGGATGACCACATCAAGTCACCTGGGTCCTGGGGCTCCAAAAGGACGAAGAAACGACGGCGGGAGCAACGCAGCAGCAGGAAGCTCAGTTTGACAGTCAGCTGTTTCTCTTTAAATATATTCTCAAAAATAAAAAGGTTATTCCCAGAGCGCAGGAGCCCAAAATGCAAAAAGCGAGATGGCAGATAGTG